GTGTAATAATCAGTAAAAAATAAAATAAAATAAAAAAAGAAGAATACAGTAATAAAAACCCTAAAATGAGTATAAATAACAATCAAACTGCAAATTGTTCGAGACACTCAGCAAACACAGGTGTAAACAATCACAGTCATTCAGCCAGCAGCAGTCCTCACAGTCACTGAGGGGGATTACATTATTTCCATTAATTGTTATTATTACATGTCCTGGCTTTCAGTGGCCTTGAAACTTAATACAGGCTCTCCCTTTTTCTCATGACCTTTGTTCATCATCATAATCATCATCATCATCATCATCATCCTGTGTATTTAAGTCCTGAGTTTCCTCCAGTTCATCATCTTTGTCATTTTTGATTCTGTTTGTCTGTTTCCAGTTCAGTTCGGTCCCGTCACGTGTATCAAGATCTTCCTGAATTTTTTTGTACTTGTTTACGAGGTGTGATTTACTCTCAATGTGTTTTTACATGTAAACTGTTTTTCTGGTCGCTATAGAGAAAGGTGCTCATGACAGCACACATTAGTTGGAATCCTGCAAGAGTCAAAATATTATCAAAATAAATTAAGGCTTTAATTTTCATGTGGTGATGCTTTATTGAATCCTGGAATTTAAACTGAATTTAAATTCATTTTAACATTTTATTGTTCAAAATGAAATTTAATTTACCATAAAAAACAATTTGGTGCAAACTAAATGGACTTAGGAGTGACGTTAATGAGTTCACAGGATCATATTTTTAGACATTTTTCATGAAAAATAGTAAGGCGATATTTACCTTCCTTAAGAATGTGGTTCAAAGCCACATCACTGAGCATGCGTATGCAAATGACACAAAAATATAGGAAACATTTCAGGGTGAAAATGATCAGAGATTATTATTTCTCTTCAGTATCTCAGCTAAAGCTTCGACTGTGATCTCACCATGATTATTTACTATAAACTGACATTATTGACACTGGTACTGAGCTTTCATCAACAAGGTAAAGATCTTAGCATATTTTACACACACATGTTTTCGTATATATACTTTATTTCACTTTTGTCTCAGGCCATGCGATCATTGGAGGTCACGAGGCTGTGCCTCACAGCAGACCTTACATGGTGCTTTTGCTGATGAACAGGCCAGGTGGTCGTATAGGACAATGTGCTGGCTTCCTTCTCAGTGAGGATTTTGTGATGACTGCTGCACACTGCCAAGCCGAGTGAGTCTAACACACTGTTGTGTTTTTTTTTTTTACCTGTTTAGTGTTTAGGGGCCTACTGTGGAATCTATAATCTCAAGATTAAAGTCAAGTCACGTATTGAGACTGTCTTTATGAAGCTTCGTGGCTATTAGATAAAATTACCAGAAAAATATTTTTTAATTTGTGAACACAAGACCAGAAAATAATTATTTTTATCAAACAAATGATACTTTCTTTTTTTTTTAGGTCCTACAAAGTTTTTCTGGGACTTCATAATTATCATGATCAGAATGGTGTACAGCACGTTAATGTGCCTGGGAGAAATGCATTTCCAATGAAAGGCTACAATCCAGTTGATTGTCGAAATGATATGATGCTTCTTAAGGTATATATATAAAAAAATAAATTATGATTGTACTTTTGAAGTTTATCATATTGCTCTAATTTAGTCTTTTTTTTCATAATCTTCAAGTTTTTTCTTCTTTTTTCTTTTTTTGGCCGATGCTCAGTTCATTCAAGTAGCACTGAAATCCTGTACATACTGATTTTTTTTAAACTTTTTTCCCTCTTCGTGTTACTGAAGTTGAGCCCAACTGAATGCAGCACTGAAACAGACTGTAGTTAACAGCGTGAATATTTACTTTTTTCTTTTAAAAAGGGGGTTTTCTCTCTCTCTTCCTTAAGTTGAGCACCAAGGCAGAGTTGAACGACAAAGTGAAACCCATTGCTCTTGCTGACCGTGATGATGGATCTCTGCCAAAAGCATGTGTCATTTCTGGTTGGGGAAGCACAGAAAACAGCAAATATATGTCTGTCAAACTCCTGGAATTAAATGTGACCCTGACTGACAATGAGCTGTGTGCTAACACAAACATGTACTGCTCTGAGGGTGAGAGAGGACCTGGTCAGGTAAGTGTATTTTTGTACACTAACATGGAGAAACAAACTTTGGTCAACAACAGAAATTCACTTCCAAAGCAATCACTAAATATTGTGTAAATACTAAATACTTCCAGGGAGACGCTGGTGGTCCATTAGTCTGTGAAGATGGAAAGGCATATGGGGTGATATCCGCCAGCACAATGAACCCAGATGGCTCAAAAATCCAGAGTTATAAAAAGATACCGGACCACTCCATCAAAGAACATAAGGGAAAGTTACATTCTCCAACAACCGATACAGTAACCATCATTCCTGTTTCTAAGGAACATCATATTTGTGTTAGAGATGCTGATTAGTCTAATAATACATGGTAATTGACAGAAATTAAATCAGCTGTTGTAATAAACAGAACATTTGATAGTTTGTCAGATATGTGATTTTCCTGAGATTACAGCAAAGGGAATATTTTTGGTTTTTGGATGGCTGGAGAACATTACAGAGGCTTTGGTTCCATGCATTTTTTTTTTTTTTTGTCATTGTTTATTAAGTTAAACACAAAACAAAGGTCAACTGATCAGAAAACTAACTGTCAACAAAGAAAATAGTAATCGCTGAAAACCTTCAATCTTCAAACAACATGAGGTGCATTTAGAAATAACATGGACTCAACTGTGGTCATCAAATTGTGTAATGTATGTGTCCTTTTACTTAATAAGAAAAAAACAGCTCAAACAGCGAGAGAAACCTTCCGGTGATAAACTGCAGATTCACATCAGACAGAAGAAATGATGACAGTAATCAGCACTTCCTGATTATTACAAAAATAATGAGAGACGCAAGAACATTTCCACATGTGTGACTAAACCAGATACACGAAACTGAGAAACAAACTGGACTTTAAATGATTCATTTACTGAAAAAGGAAATTAAATAATTATAATGAGTAAAAACTTGGATCAAAAATCTCCAAAATTAGAGGCTTATGTGGCCATAGAAAGGGGATGCATAAAATAATAGAAAGCACATTAATGAGTACAGAAAACCCTTTCACTCAGTAGTTGGTGTAGATTTACAACAAAAAATATGTTTTACCACATGTGCATTCAAATTTAATGTCATAACATTTATTTTTTCACTTAAACAGTGGTGGTCCTGCAATAGTTGAACAAACAGTAACGGCATTTCTCTGCAACTTAAACCTCTATAAGACAAACACATTAGTGTCTTTATTGAAAATAATTTTTACATTTAAATTTAAAATTAATTGACAAGACAAATATATTCAGAAATTTAAATCAATGTATAAAGATATGGTTTTCGTGCAGTCCGATGTAATAAATTCTCATGGTTATACAACATTTGGAAGCATCTGCACAATTACATGACTGAGCTATAAATATGGGAAGGGGGTGGTAACACGTGTGTTACTTCTTCCCACTGCTTTTTGAACACTGGTTGTACTACAGGACAGTATTTTCCTTTTCGTATATATGCTCTATTTTGTATGTATGTACGCATATGCTTGAAATAAATGATCTATCAATCAATCGCCTCTGTTAATAAACATGGTGAGCTTCATGCAAGCACAGTTTAATGGATGGTGGCCAGGAACACTGAGACTGTGCAGTGAATTAAAACTTGATTACATCTACTTGTTCACGCCAGACTGAGACAAAGCAGGGAAAGAAAGACTAAAGTCAGGTTTGTGTTTTATATAGATTTTACAGACCAGCACAATATAGAATGTATACAGCAGTTTGTATAAAAGGTAGGATCTCCTCTGGAGTGCAGTCACCCATCTGCACATGGACTATAATACCATCTCATGTGGAGGATAAATTTGGTCTGTTGATCTATTCTTGAAGAAATATGTACTAACTTACTAATAACTTGCGCTGTTGTAGGTTTCCACTTGCTTTTATATGTGATTTTATATATATCAGGGTTTTTAATGATCTGTACATGTCAGGCCTCGAATCAAAGCAAACAGGCTGTATCCCATTTCAGAGCCCTGAGCACTTTTTCCCACACTAAAAAAAACACTTGAATGATAAAATTATTTGAACATTACCTAATAAGATTGATTCATGACAGACAGTTACTTTAAACTTTTCTAGCAGTCCCTTACAAACAGGGAACAGTCTGTCTATTCTCTTCATCTGTCAGCTGCTGCGGGCTCTTCCTCCTCCTCTTCCTCACACACTGCTGAGTTTGTCCTGGTGGATCATCAGGGGTGCAAAGCCTCACAGATGATGTGCAGCAGTGGGTCCCTCAGTCTGTCCTCACTCTGGACACTTGCAGTTGTCACACATGGAAATCAAA